AAGAGCAAAAGAGTTTTATTTGTAGCTCCTGAACTCTGGGAATTGGGGAATCTGAAAAGTCTCTTAGGCTGAATTATTGAGATAATAAAGCACCTGCTGAAGAGACCTCTGAATGCTGTAATGAAATTATTTCGTTGCCCCAGAATAATCACAAATGCAGGTTCTCTTTTGAGAGCAAAAGAAACAACGGAAGGGAAAATGGGATAGATAAATGGAATGCAAATCACCCTCTCTGCTCAGAGAGAAAGCAAAAAAGAGCCACAACATGAAAGGAGGAAGCCTTATGGTACTACAAACAGGCTGAGCTTGTGCCAATTTTGTTTACTATTGTGGGGTCACTTGAAAACAACCGAGAGTAAACACAGAAGGGGAACAGCCGAGCACAAAGGCACCATCACATGGAAGTAGTTTTGTCTAGGCTTGATTTTGTCACCAGCTTCTGCACAGCCTGACAAGTCATCTGCCCCCCACGCTGACGTAATTGAACAGCCCAGCAACCACTACTAAGGAAAAGTCTTACTAGTTGCAACAGAATTATACAATAAAAAAGTTATTCATGTGTAATACAAGGATGACTCCCTAATCCCCAGTCTTCTGTCCCCCCATCTTCACCTCTCAGAGAGACAAGTCCTACAGAAGTAGGGTCTGATTCATAATTTAATACTTACGCAATCCACTACATATGAATATTTAACACTACTGGGAACTTCAATAAATCATCTTGTACTTAAAATGAATGGTCAAAATTTCAATTTGTTTTATTCATATTCCTGCTCCTAGTCCCAGGAATTCTGGAGGGGACAGAACCAGCCACTTCCCAGGGACAACTGATCTTAACTTTTTAAAAACAAGCAAACAAAACATGGGGTATTTCTTTCTTTTTATTTCCACACAAACCTGCAGAACCTTATTACATTTTCATTTACTAGAGTGTACTTAATGAAGGCTTTTAAACCCTCACAACCTTTCAAATTAATGAAAAGTCCACCCAAATAAATTAGACATGTAGTCCAAGAGCTGCAGATTTAAATTACAGTAGTTACCCTGACAGGAACCAAGAAACAGCTGTCACATACAATTATTTTTAGGGCTGCTACTAAACCATTTTCACATTATGAGCTGCCACCTCTCAGCAGCTAACAGCAGCTTCACATTTTATCATGACAAAAAATTAGAGGCATCCAGTTATCTCCTCGGGTATTACACACGTTTGTAATACGCTGTGTGTTAAATGGAGCTAAAGCCCCGTGCCGGGGGAGGAATGCAACCCTGGGCCAGCAAAGAGCTGCTGCATCACCACGGCTGGGACTTCAGCCCAGCCCTTCAGCCAGTGGAGTTACTGGGAGCAGATTTGGCTCCAGCCAATTGGTTCTTGGAACTGCTGCATCACAATCGCACGGTCCCCAGCAGCACACGCACCAGGGTGCCCGGCAGCCTCTGCCAGCTGCCACCTCCTCCTCACCACCATGCTGGAGAGGTTTCCCCACTCCAAAGAGGAGGAAGAACAGCCCAGGGTCACTTCATGACTCGGCCTGCTTGCAGGTGCCAAGGGGGAAAGCACACTCCTCGGCTAGTGGTCTCCATTGGCATCAGGGTGGCCAGAGGCAGTCAGCAGCCTGTGACTGTCATAGAGATTTCAAGGAAACGCTCAGAAACACAGAAAACCACACACAGGGAGGAGAGAGAGAATCAGGAAGAGATGGCAAAGTACCATGAGACAACACGCCCAGAGAATAGAACATCAGACCGCCTGAGGGGAGTGAGGAGGAGGCAGAGGAGGCAGAGGAAGACAGTCACCTTCACCACAGCGAAGCAGCCGCTGCCTCCCTTCTTCCTCTTCATGGCACAGCATCGTGCACAGCTTCAGAAATCAAATCCACACTGGACAGTGGTACAAACTGCCACAAAGTTAGGGGAAATGTGGCACAATCAGCCAGAAAGAGACAAAAAAATGTACAAAGAGCAGGCTGCACAGCTGAGGAGGAAAAGCAGAAGAAAAGCCCGGGCCAGGCCATGAGCCAGAAGCAGCAGGAAGGAGGAGATGAAGACTCTGACGGTCTGCTCGGCTGGTGGGACCAGGACCCTCTGCAACCTCATCTTGGCACTTGTGCAACTGCAGCTTCTTGTGAGTGTCAGTACTGTCCATAAGCCTTAGCAAAATAAAAGCAAGTGCTAGATAACTGTAGTTTTTTAGACAGGACAGTAATTCAGGATTAATGTAGTTGGCTCCACGCTGATGGCAACAAGGCAGCTTGTGCTGCCTGGAGATGGACTTTTCCTGCTCATCCACAAAGAAAACAGCAGTGAGTCTTCTCCGTCTCCTCTCTCCTTCAAGTCATGAGTTAAACCATGCTCCTTCTGCAAAGGAGGAATTCTGGTTCTCTAACTCAGCAGGTCCTGGAGCCTGAGAGCCAACTAATGCAGACTGGCCTCGGGGGAACACAAGGCTCCCCACCACTGCCAGGGCTCTTTAGCTGGTGACCCGCTTGGCCTGTGGGTCCTGTCCACAGCACACACCATATGTGCCTCAGAGGCAACGGGGTAGCTAGGACAGAGCATGCTGCTGACCTACATTCTGCTGCTGCCTCACCAGCCAGCAGCTTGAGCTTCAAACCCTCTGATCTGCTTCTATAGTATACGTATTACATGGTATAATATCTATAGCAATATGCAGCTTTAAAATGCAGGGGTCCTCCTACATAACTGATCAAATATTTAAAAGGAAATAAGCTTGCTTGGTTCATTTCTTTTCAACTTCCAACCTTTTGAACAGCCATGTGACTTGGAAGGGATGGCAGGTCCTGCTCAGAGGACAGGGCTGACAGCAAACCCTTGGGGAGCTGGACAAACTCAGACCCCAAACCAGCACAGGTACCTGAGCCCACTGAAGGACTCGAGGATCCAAATGTGCACCAGAGAGGTTTCTCCTCTTGGCCACAGCCTTCCTACAGGCTCCCAAAGGAAGAGTCACAGCCTGTTTCCACACGGGTCAGCACCTATTTCTTCTCTTTAAACAACTGTCTCAGCTTGTTTCCCTTTGGTTCAACCACAGGGAAGCCTTAGTTTGATCCAGAAGATGAGGTCTGTTATAGAAAGGCTGATGGCCCATGCTGCTTAGCAGCTAAATTGAGATAACCAGCAAGCCTGGGAAGAGGTTATGTTATCTGGCTAGTAATGACATTCGTGCATATTTTGCACTTTTCTTAAATGCTGCCTTGTGTCCAAAGCTGCTGCTGTCTTTTCCCACATGCTTTTGCCCTGAGTTTACCAGCCAGTTTTTTCAGAAGTTAAAATATTATTCCAGACTGAAAAGTGCCAAGATTTAACCAGTCTCCTCTCAACTTGAAGCTTCAAAAACAGCTCCTCTACCTTAGATACTGCACACAGTAAAAAGGAAACAGAAAGACCCAATGAAAGGGAAGCACTCCAAAATATTTCCCCACTGTCCATGACGGAGCATGGCCTCAGCACAACACATCAGAGAACTGTAGTGACATGACATCTTCTGTACCTTCTAAACAACTGGGGTTGTCTAGCCTGGAGAAAAGGAGGCTCAGGGGAGACCACCTCACTCCTGACAACTGCCAGGAAGGCTGGAGCCAGGTGGAGGTTGGTCTCTTCTTCCAAGGAACGAGCAATAGGACAAGAGGCAACGACCTCAGTTGTGCCAAGGAAGGTTTGACACAACGAAAAATTTCTGCCCCAAAATGTTTGTCAAGCCCTGCAACTGGCTGCCCAGGGCAGTGGAAGAGTCCCCACCCCTGGATGGGTTTAAAAGCCACAGAGATGTGCTGCTGAGGGACTTGGGTTAGGGGCAGCCTGGCACTGCTGGATTAACAGTGGAACTCAATCTTAAAGGCCTCTTCCAGCCAAAACAATTCTGTGATTCTATAGGCACCAAGGGAAACACTGCAGCTCAAAACATCACAAGCAAACTGGACTCCAAAGATGTGCCTGTCCCTTATTCCATACCCTGCACTTTGTTAAGGTCTTAGCACCATCTACTGTAACATCTGGAGATGAAGTCAGTGGTCAGCAGCTTGCACTGCTGGGAGACTTAACACCCAGGGTGTGGCCTTACTAACCTATCAGCACACACACTGGCAGTATTAAGTGAAACATAATACTCTGCTGTGACTTGGTAGCAGGGGGTTTAAGAGAGCAGGGAGAAGAGATGCCACCTTATGGCTCTCGTGACTGCACGGCTAACGGCTCGACAGTGCCATCAATTAAAATCCACTCCCAGCTGCACTAGTGGTGGCCACAGCACACTGTGCAGCTATTATGGGCACATTACAAATATGAAGCACTTAAAGTTGCACCAAAAACGCCCAAGATATTACCCATCCAATTATATTGTTAACAGAACCTTTGTGTCTTCCATTCCTCAACTTGTGTACTTCATCAACAACCAGCACTCGGGTAAAATCATGCTCTGTGAAGCTGGGACACAGGTTCCACTCAATTTAGCACATCACAGTGTGTTCTTGAGTAATGTCTTCAAATACCTGCAGCACTGCCTCAAAACACACACTTCTTCACAAGCACACACTCCAGTAAACTCACAGGGTTGCTATTTCTACCAGTCTCTTTTGGCAGTCTGAGAGGCTGGAGGACAACCCTGCCAGCTCAGAACACAACAAAATGCCTGTTATTTAGACTGTTGTCACTGCCAAAGGGAAGATGAGTAAAGAATACCTTGGAAATTCTACAGGAGGAAATGATCTGGACTACCTTCCCTTCAAGTCAGCTCGATGGATCCATCTGGATGGCTGGCAGAGACAGGGTTTGCCTCCCCTGCCATCTCACTGGGGGGGCTTCAAAGGGGCCGAGTTTCACAGTAGAAGAGAAGAGCCAGGAGTGTTAGATCCAAAGCCTCCAGCAACCCACCTCCCTGTGCTTTCACCAGGGCACAAGGACAGACCTGTCACCTGAGTGCTGCTTGCACGTGTTGGGTCACAGACACATGACACACATGGCTCAGACTTCCAAACCCACATAAACAAACCCAACGCCAAAATTTCCTGTGCTACCCCACCATCCTTAAAAAAAAATAATTTGCAATCTGAGCACAAAAGCATAAAAAAAATCAGTAAGGAGATGTGGATGCTACACTGACACTCCTATTGACATCAAGAGAAGCCTGTCTGTAGATATTCCCTCTTTTACTTGTTAAATGGGAACAATAGCACTTCATCCCACCTCCCTCATTTAGCCTCCACTCTCTTTATGCTGGCAATTTTCTTCTCTGTGTGTAGAAGACATAGTCCAAAAAGCTCTTGTATTACAGTAATAGTAGTGGAAGCACTAGAGTCTTTCTGAATAGCAGACTTATTTAATAGATGTTCTCTGCAATAAAGCTTCTACACCACTGCCTTATCTGCTGCTGTAACAGCCACAAGGAGTCGTGTTCAGAGCAGCTTATCAATGCCCCGCGTGTGTTGCACAGGTTGGGACTAAAAGCAAAACAAAACCCAGAAACCAACCACTGCAGTTCTGTCTAGGTGTTGCAGTGAGGAGTTGAGCCTTTGAAAGCTCTTGGGGGGGTGTGGTTTTGTCTGGCTTTTTTAGCAGATGCACCAGGATAAAGATTTGGCAGCCTTCAGCATACTCATTAGTCTTACAGGTTTTTCAGAGAGTTAAAGGTAATATTAGAAGAACATAAGATTAAATGAAAATAACAAAACCTCACACCAACTAAGGTGCAGTTCAGTAGCCCACTGGCTGCACTGGTGTCCCCAGTCACCCCAGTAAACCCCCTGCAGCCCAACAGCAAGAAGCAGCCCCAAGCCTGGGCAGTGGCCATCAGAGAGAGGTCATCATCTTGCTCCAGCAGCTCATGGCCACCCAGAAGGGTTTTGAGAACAATCCACAGCAACCTGAGCCAGGCAACCCTGCCAGAGACCTCCCCAAAACTCCACTGAGTCAGGAAATGAGTTCTTCTTGACTTGGAGACTTGGTAGGAAGGGCTCTGTCAGGCGTTCATTGAGATGTTACAACTTAAACACTCTTACAAAAATCAGAAACTAGAAGTGTTCTTTGCTCATTAACTGGCTAGCAAAGAATCTTTTTGTTTTAAAGAATCAATAATCACCTTTTGTTCACAGCTTGATTTTAACACGACCAAAACCACACCAGGTTACTAGGAGCTAAAAAGCTCCCAGGACTGTGGTGAAGTCGATGACAGCTTGCTTCCTTTCAGTCCATCTTGCAACCAAGCACAGACTGAGTGCTACAGAGCCCGTGCCCATCTGTACAGATCTGAGAGGCAACACATCCTGCCACCCTCGTGACCTCTGATTTAGATGGCAAATCACAGCAATAACCCCCTCGGGCTCAGCATGATGCTCACACAGCAGAGCCCAGGGCTGTGGCACATCCAGGAGCTCCCTCGCTGGCACCACTGCCCAGCCCAGCCCCGTGCCCAGCCTGGAGGGTGCCTGCTGAGCTTGCAGTTCTGGGCAAGAGGGCATCTTCATTCCCAACCCGAGTGAGGATAAGGAAACAGCTCTTCAAAAGCGTGCCACTCCCACTGAACTGCAAAGCCATCTGCTTCTTGTATTGAGAAGTAACAAAGAAAAAGTAGGTGCTAAGTTATTAGAAGTTCAATTAGAGCAGCAGTTGGACAGACCCAATTTTGTCTTTCCCAGAATTCATCATTTAAAATGGTAAAATAAGTGTTTGCTTGGGCTCCTCCTAACCTCACATAAAACCACAGCAGATTTGCTCCATCAGGCAGACACATGAGCTCTGAAATTCTCATCTTGTATATGCAAAGAATGCCACAGAATATAAACATGCACAATATGGTTAACATATTAAATTATGTTCTACAGAAAAAATTTCATCAGACCACCATTCAGGAGACCACAAACACTGGTTAAGGTAATATTAAACATGCTTCATCATTTGCTAATGTGTATTTTCCATTACTCTCACTGCAAAAAGTTTCCTACTTCCTTGAATAAAAAAATAATTAAAAAGTATGCACAGAACTAAGTAAATTAATAACAGATGTAATATATAGACACCTGTCTGTGATTCTACAAGACACTGGAGAACTTACTCAACAGCAACTGGAAATTCAGCTGCGAAGTCCCAGTGACTGCCTGTAAAGTAGGACGGGCTGAGGCAGGGGGGTGAAGCTGTAATCTCACCACTGCCTGCTGCTGCTGCTGAATCCCCACTCTGGCTAGATGAGGGGTGTGCAGACAGGAATTCCTCTTCTGGGCACACACACACAAACAGCTCTAGGAGCAGAGGATGCTGTTCCATGAATGAACAGCACCTGCTGTGCCAGCAAGGCTGATGTTTTACGGGGGAGGAAAGAAGCCCCCGGACGACCTCGCTCCTTGAGAAATCAACAGAGTTCACTGCCTGACTCCCCAATGCACCTTGTGTCCAACACAGCTAAGCCACGAATGAACAGCACCTGCTGTGCCAGCAAGGCTGATGTTTTACGGGGGAGGAAAGAAGCCCCCGGACGACCTCGCTCCTTGAGAAATCAGAGTTCACGGCCTGACTCGATCCCAATGCACCTTGTGTCCAACACAGTTAAGACAAAACAAACTTATTAATCCTTCCTTGCTGCACTCGAGAGCAGCTCTACCAGATGGCAACAGCTCTGCCAGGGCTTGGCACAGGCACAGCCCCCAAGCTCCGGACTGAGCCACGCGTTTATCCGGACCTGGGCCGGTGTCTCCTCCCCAGGGACCAGCACAGGCAGCACTTCTCCACGTGCTTTCTGAGGAAGCTGAACAGGCTGTAACACCTGAGCAGTCTTCGTAAAGTTGCCAAGACAGCAGAATAAGAGTTGTACAAGGGCAAAATGTCCCTTTTAAGAAGTCTGTGTGGGTGACCTTAAACACAACATGAAGTCTTCCACCTGCAGAAACTGGTGACTACTTGAAAGCACTGCCAGTGGGTTTTACTTTTTTATTTTTTAAGCCTGCCTTCTGTGCTCTTCGCTGCTCCAACAGTTTCTCTTCATCTTTCCAGATTCTCAGAGGAGATCAATCTGCATCTTTTCTGCTCAGTCTCCTCAGCTGACGTGAACTGTGTCGCTGGAGCAGATTGCTCCACACTTGCCTATCACCCTCCGTTTCCAAGGGTTTGATCAGATAACAAATCCTGAAACACATGCTTCAGTCTGCAATGAAACAGACTATCGCCACATTCAGAGCAAGGCAGCAGACACTGAGTCTACTTTGTACAAAAAACCCAAAACTTCCATCTTTATGCAGCAGTTCAAGTGGGACCAGCAGCGTTTACACCGTCATCCAGGATCTGCGTGGTGGGACTGAGCACATGCTCAGCAAGTCTGCAGGCAACACAACTCAGAGCAGCTGAGACACCAGACGGGTGCATTGGCATCCTGAGAGACCTCAGCAGGCTGGAGGAACCAGCTGAGAGAAGCCCCATGAATTTCCAAGGGAAATGGAAAGTCCTGCCCAGGGTGAGGAGTAACTCAGGGCCCCATCACTGGAAAGCAGCTTTGGAGAGACAGACTTGGGGGTCCTGTGGACAAGGTGAGCATGAGCCAGCAATGTCACCTCGCAGCAAGCAGGCCAACAACAGCCCGGGCTGCAGCCACTCCAGAATTTTGTGGAATCCCACCTGTTTCAAGAGGGTTTGAGCATCTCCCTTGCAGGAGTTCAATGGTCAGCTGGAGCCAAGGCATCTGAAGAACTGATGTGTCAAGTGGCCTTACAAAGAAACCTTCCAGCTTCACCGCTGAAAGCAGCAAATGTTAATGGGTTTAGTAGCACTGCTGCTTGTGAGTCAACACTTGTGCAGCAATAACAGCTACAGAGCAGTCAAATCTGCGAGGAACTTCCCAAAATTATGCAGAGTTCAGCTGAACTTTCTACCCTTTCAATCAATAAGGGGCCATTAACAACCTGCTCCAAGCTCTGCACTGTTCACAGCATGAGAGGCTTGGTGCAGCCATGGTAGTGCCTGCAGCCTGGAAAAGATATTCATGGCTGATTATATTAAACTTGAGTTCAATACAACTTTGCTGGGAAGAGCCTTACAAACCACGAACTCCTCAAACTCCAATGTCTTCTAACCTGCAAGCCAAAGGGAGTTTCAAAGCTCTGCCAAGGTCAGGTTCTGGTCTCAGATTTATATGGCAGACACATACTCAGAAATATTTTCCATTACTTTTATTGCTACCTATAAACTGCTGAAGAAAAGGAACCCAGGAAAAAAATATTTAAGGACAGAAAGTAACATGAGATTCACTGTTCCAAACATAGCAGACTGATTTATGTGTCACAGTTCAGGAAACATCAGACCTTCAGAGTCAATGTCAGGACACAGCCTCCAGTCTCTCCAAGACTTTTACATGCCCAGAGAAGCTGCAAGCTGTCTGAACAGAGTGTTTAGGAGGAAAAAAAAATCCAATTTGAAATCTCCTAAGCTTCATAGCAGCAAGCACCTTGGAGTCAGTGGGAGTAAGCAAGCATCAAGCCTTTACCAAGGTTTGTTGCAGTCTTTCAGAGGTTTAGGAAGACTGATTCTTGATGATTTGGCATAAAAAGCAAAGTAGTTACTTTTTTGGCAACTTATTACAATCAGAACTTGCACAAAGAAAGAGGGAAAGTGCCAAAAGCAAAAGGAGCACTGGCATCCACAGCAAACACGGAATCTATTATTTTGTCCCTTTGGACTCAATTAGTTCAAATTTACAACGAATGGCACCCATAAAGATGTTAAACATTAACAAAACTTCTGTTAACTTGCTTCAAACAGAATTTTAATGGGAAGCTCTGTTTTATACACATTCTAGGGTTGCAAAATGTAACGAGTATTTTATTTTTCCCACAAAAAATTCCAATAGATTAATTTAATGCTAATAATCTATAGTTCCTTAAGAGGTCTAACAAAAAAAAAAAAAGCCTTGACAACATGCTCTGAAAAGTCTTCTTACTTTTGAGAGTTTCTTGTTCTGGGGCAGTGGGGACAGGACAGACACACTGAGCAATATAAAGCAGAAGGGGTGTATAACATTTTCTGGTTTTAAACTTTTGGAGAGAATATAACAATATAGATGCTTATGAGCTTTTTCTTTTTAAACTGGAAATGAGGCTTAAATCAGAGCATGCATATCCAAGTTGAAAAAGACCAGAAGATTTTTACCCCAAGGCCTCCTCCACCTGCAATGCCTGTGCAGGCAGCCAGCCAAGCAGACAGAGCTGCCCAGGCCTTTCTTCCTGGGTGCTCTGACAGCCAGGAGCCACTTCCCCCAGCGTGCCTAATACAGTCCATTAACTGCAACAAGGAACCAGCCAGCCTTTAAAATCCCCGTGGTTAGGTCAGAGCAAGAGGCCCATGTACTTCTGGCACCATTTAAAAGCAGTAAGACACAAAGCTCATGGATGCCTCGTTGGGCACGCTTGAGTTCCAGTGCCTGGGTTTGCTCCAGGACATCATCAGCTCAGCACCCAGCAGCACCAGTTCCCAAGCACGGGCACCCACTGGGCCCAGCACCCGGGTGCAGCTGTGCCAGTGGCACAAGGAGCACAAGGAGCAAGGGCAGGAGGAGATGAATTGGTCCCCAGGCAGCAGAGGAGCAGAGCACCACGATCCTGAGCATGGCCCAGTGCAGCAGGGGAAGGGTTGAAGGTTTGACAAGCATTTAGTTGACCTGTCCCCCCTCCTACCACCGCTCTGGGTCCTCAGCCTCTCACACGTTTCCCACAGCCAGGCGCTCAGTCTAACACTGCACATGCAGTTTCAAGATCTTCCTTTAGTTTTTCCCTTTCCTTTCCCTTTCTTCCGGGCTCCAGAAATTCTAAGGTGGCTTTATAAAAACCAAAGGATATTTGTCAAGTCATACGAAGCACCTGTGACTGAGCAAAAAGAGCCCTGGGAGCGCTCCCCCCCCGTGGGCTGCTGCGGGCACAGGGCACCGCGCCAGGATCGATGCTGTTAATTTATTCTGCTACATTACTGAGTGAACAACCTTATTGCAAAATCCCTTCCTGCCAGCCTCCAGCCTGAAGCAGTTTTATTCTTCCCCCTTTTAAGAATAGCTGACTTATCAAAACCAGGTTTTTCTAACAGAAAACCACAAGCTAAGCCACATTATTATAATTGAAGCAATTAATTACTTTTATGCCTTTCTTTTTAAGGGAGATCTTTAATGCAGGTAATTCTGACTAAAAGAGCTAATTTGAACTGCTCCATCATTTAAAAGATGATTATAAAAATTAATTTAGAAAGTGCAGAATGAAGACAAAGGGATAGAGGAAAGCATGCAGAGATGGGCTGGGAAGTACCAAAACACTCCCACTTTAAGAGCATGGAGAAGGCTGCAACTTTTCACATCACTGGGAAAACAACTCAGCAGCTCACTGACATGTGGCAAATCAGTGGGTCACTGCAGTGGCAGGGAGGCAGCTACTCATATTTTAGCTTTTTGGACTTCCACAGGGTAGGAATCTATGAACCCACATCAGTGCAGCACCAGAATGCCTCTAGCTTTCCAGATTCTTGGAAAATTCCAGCTTCCTGTGGCCAGAAAGGCAGTCATTAGATATTAGTTGTTGACAACATTCTGTCTATTACTAATCCTTTGGTATTTACTGGTGCCCTGGCATCTTCCTGATCTCCGCTATAAATCCAGCCACAAGAGAGCTCCCTGTGAGGAAGAATCAAAACATTCGTATTGTAAAACAGCCAAGACTGTCAAAAAGAAACTCAGCATGAGCTAAAGAGATCACGCCCTGCCAGGACAAAACAAACCACCACCAAGAAGCAGCAGCAAAATATAGTAGCCACACAAACCCAAACCCCCAATTTCCTTCCCCACCTGGGTTTGGGAAGGTTGACTAGGTCTGGGTACAAGACAGCAGAGCCATTTAGACTTAACCTAAATATCTTGCCTCTTTACATTCAATAACATATTAGTAGATTTGCAGTCCATGCTTGACTCAGGCAGCAAGCATGGACTGCAAATCTACTAATATGTTAAGAGCCATTAAGAGGCAAGATATTTAGGTTAAGTCTATACGTTCAATAACATATTAGTAGATTTGCAGCCCATGCTTGAGTCAGGCAGCACATGAGACAGAACAATTTGTCTGTGGCAAGGCCCATCAGTGGCTGCACCTCCCACTGCAGAAGGAAAACCACTGGGTTTTGAAGCAAACAGACATCGGGGTGCAAAAAAGCACCTTTTTTTGTCTAAAAAGTAGGAAATGACATACTTCACCACACTACCCTAACAGACAACATATATCTCCTGAAGTAGGTTCTCTATAGATATTTCTTCCCCATATTTCATGCACTTAAATATTCCTAGAAGTGAAAAGATCATGTTGGAGTGATCCATATGACCTGAGAATTGTCAAACAATAAACGACACTTCGCCACAGCTTGAGCTTGTGCAAGGCATGCTAAGCACAGTTCCTGCCCAACAGTAATGAGTTAGAATATAATGCAAATTATAAGAGACTTGTACTTTAATTGCAGTACATGAGATGCGTTCACATCAGGCATCCAAACCATCCATTTAAACACAAGAGGTGAATTCAGCCAAGTGAATCTCTCGGCTGTGGCTCACCTCGAGCACAGACAGGAGAGCTCCAGAAACTGAGCAGAGGAGAATGAGCAGAAGCTTTCAGCTGGGAAGCAGCTGCAGTGAACCCAGGGAGGAAAACCAAGCAGGCAAAGATCATTTAAAACAGGTGACATCTCAAACCAAAGTATTTGCATTCTTTAACACAGCTCATAAATATTAGCAAACATTCATGAATGGGTCCACAAAGAAACCCCAGAAGACAGAGATCTTTGAAAGTCCTGAAGCAGCTGCAGAGGTGACTCTGCTATTTCCCTTGGAAGCTGTAGATAAGGGTAAAACACGACCAGAACCAGCTCTGGCAGACAGATTTTGACACACAACTGCACCTCCCTCAACACAGCAAAAGCTCCACCAAAGGAGACCCTCTGCACACGTGGGTCCTCAGCCAGCTCCATGGCAGAGCCACACAGAAAATGACACAAATTGCTTTCTGGAGAAAAAACACAGTGGGAAGGCAGGGACACCTCCTGGAAGCACTTTTAAGTGAAGTCAGTGATCTTTCCCACCAACTTTTCTCACCAATTTGTCCTTGTTTAAACTGTGAGAGTTCAGAGTCCTGCTCTAACAGCAGAGGAAGAGATGGGGTGTTTTAAAGACCACCCCAGATGTCCTACTTTTTACAACCTGTGACATCATTGCACATCCATGAAGCCTTCTCCACCTGCCAAATAAAAGTATTATCCACCATTTTACAATCTGTATAGTCCCTTATATTTTGAATCATGTCCAGAAGGTACACTGAAGATGACCAGTAATTTTC